AAATCCTGCTACTTACAAGTAATATAAACTAAATAGCCTCTCCTAGTTTCAAATGCTATGGATAGAGCGTCTAGAGGACGTCATCCACTCGCAGGTTAACCACTGTTAGAGACAGTGCTATATCCCAGCTAGTTTGCAAATTATGTAGCCCTGCCATCATCCCCCATGGCTCAGTGGCTTAAAGTGCTGGCTAGTTGGCATCTGCCTCTAGTGGTCATGGGTGCGATCCCTAGTAGGGGACCGAGGGAATGCGCACCAATGACTAGCCCCAATAGGGCGAAAAGCGTTCGGTGCTTTTCCTGACTAGGCTATGCTATGTAACTTGTGGATTATCGGGAAGAATACCTTACAAGAATACCTTACAATAATTACCATGTCAATTCCTCTGAAAACACATAGGAAAATGCTAGCAACGACGCAATTAAAGCCATGGCTTCCTCTGCTTATCCTTGTCATTTATTGTGAGGCTATTTCTTGGATATGCACTAAGCTATACACTGTCAGCTCTTAACTTTTTTTAAAGGGAAAGTTGAAATCATTATACCTGCTTTCTCCCTAAGCTACAAGTGTTGCTTTTAGTGTATTCCTGATCCTCCTGTCTGTTTTGTCTCGCCTGGCTTCTTTGCAACATTCAGTTCCAGAAAAACGATGTGGAAATGATCATTAGATCAGTAGCCCTCCGCGGCAGGGAACTTACTTGGTGTGTTGCACATCGCCAACCCAAGGAACTTAGATCAAATTTTGTTACGAAAGTCACTTAAAACCACGCCGTTTCGTAAGCTTTTTGAACCGAACAATATTTATGGACAACTACTAGATGATTTTCACTCACAAACCACCACAGTAGATAGAATTCCAGTGCTCGTCCGGTGTGTGAAACTTCGACCTGGAGTAATACGCATTTACTCACTAATATTTGACAGAACTTTCGTAATAACACCTTCCAAATCGATTGCTCCTCACATGACTAGAAAGGGTTAAAATTTATTTTCGTCTATCAGAGGTTCCATAGTAATGCTTTATCAATGGTACCATTTAGGTACGAACCCATGACGAACAGCATCATACTTTGCTAGCAGGTAGCCGACGTCAGCGGTGCCTGACCCATCCACTCAACTGCTACTAATTGTTAGTTAAGAGTACTGACCGAGGTTACTAATTTACTAAATGTAATAGTACGCTCATGGGAAACATACTTGGAAATAGAGCAGCCCATTGGCGATCCAACTGTACAAATTGTTATAGTGCCAATGTCTGATGGTCACATATGCACTTTAAATTCCTCTACCGCACCTTTTTAATCTTTGATGTACCTGCTGCTGCAAAACGAAATTGGCATGAAAACCTTTGAAGGATCCAAGTAGAGAAGCGACAGGAATTCGCACCAGACACCATATTGCAATAGAATTAAACACATTTGTAACCTGTTCATGCTTTCATCCTCAGCATACAGTTATTTTGTGCCAAAACAACAACAATTAAGTACACATTTCCTGAAAAACACACCAGTAACTCAGTTTACAAATCCTGATGGCCTCGGCTTTAAAAATGCATATCTAGACCACTAATAGCCTTCACAAAACTAAACACGAGGAACAGATGATTTGGGCACAACAAAGCAATGTGTAGTTCTCATTCTGTTGGACCGGTAAAATATGGTTTTTTGCATACGATAGGGAACGAGGGAACTGAATGTCTTCAAACATCTAATTAACCATTAGCTGTCAGGTCATTCAACACAATCTAACAGCACCATCCAACAATCGTGTCGGTAGGTAGATTTAAGTAAGCTAATCCCACACAAGCAGGTTTTGTATGATCAGAAATTGGGTATTTAGACGTTAGGATTGCTTTGGTTACCGTTTGTGCTTTCCTTTAAAGCATAACCATGGTTAAAACTGGGTGCCCCCTAACCAAAGACCACAAAGCGGTTCAATTGTTTTGAGTGCAAATGGACGGGTCCATTTGCAACTACGTCATCCTTGAGATGTTTTTTAAAGTCACCTTATTGTCACCACAAATTTACGGGCATTCAAAAATCACTAATGGCTTAGCTAATTCACCACATGCGGTATCTCGTGTACGCCAGCAAATGACAGTAAACCAGTTGCATCTGTTCGTATGTGAAATTTATGAGAGTGCAGAGATTGAAATACAATTTATGGCCAAAATGGTGAAAATCTCTCGGAATTTGGCAAGTAGTAGCCTGTTTACTCCCAATAAATCAGGATTGTTTGCCTTCTGCATTGCTTGCATCTCTGTTGCATGAGTGGAAATTCATCTGAAATTGGTTGTCGTCTGGCGCTTGGATTGTACTTTTTCCTTCCCTCAAATGATTTCCCATGGTGGTTGAGAGGACCGCTTATGCACCTAACCAAGTTCTCAAAATACCCGGAGAGTATGATTATCCCCTTACAACTTATGCATTTGCTTAAATGACTGTTTAAGTCTCTGTACGCTCACACTTGTCCAGTGGTTCACACCTCATGTACCCCATTCAGTCGCTAACGGTATTTGACCTCATTTAATTTTGTTATCTGGGCAACTGATGCGCCATGCGCTAGGTGTGATGTCACTATCTTCAATGCATTGTAACTAACTACCACATTATCTCAGTGATGCGCGGATCATTAACACCATGTTTACTTGTATGTGTGCCATCTGTTAACCACTCACTCTTTAACGTTTTGGTTCGTTCACCTAGCTGAGTAAGTTACTGATATTAACGAGGCTAATTTCAAACGCTATTTCCCGAAGACACCTTCCGTGCGATTTTCCTATACGGAACAGTTCACTGAAGATGCCACTGAGGGAAGTGGTGAAACATTTGTCTTAAATTACTCAGCTCGGAGAACGAATCAAAACGTTAACTACAAACTCGAGCTACAGTTATTCCGAATCATTTCAAACACTCACTCTTCAATCTGGTATTGGATTTTAGATGATATGCTAGTGCCTTACTAATACTTCCACACGTCTATCTCGTGTTCATTTGTCCTTCGGCTGTCCGGCCTTAACAGCAATTTTTTCCCTGTTGTAAAACTGTATTTTAACATTGACAGTGAAATACCGGGATTTTGAAAAATTGAGCTTCGCTCAATTTGTGGAATTGCACATATTGGACTCTTACCCTAGTTGTTGCGCTTCAACCTTGTTCTACTTTCGGGATCGTTGGTTACGTTCCAATTCACGTTCGACCGGTGAAGGTTACAATGTTTATCTGAAACTTAATTGTAGCACATTTCATGACATATGGTAAACTAAACTGTCGCCTAAGCGTACTTCTGACTGGGTCCAATGATACACATTGCATCCGTTGGTTTGGAAGGATAATAATAGTTCATTAACTACAAAAATAGATATTAGTACTATGCCGGATTACTGCCGCTTGGCAGGTCGGTGAATTTTGAAGCCAGCACACCATCCAACGTGCAGCAAGTTACAACCATATATTCCATAACGTGCATTTATAAAATGTTAATTTCTTTCAATTAGTTTAGAAAATATATTTCTGTAAACCGGGTTGTTTGAGATGTTAACTAGTGGATATGACACAACTGTAACATTTATTTATTGACGATGGTACGGTGGGCCGTTTGATAACTTACCACAATAATTATCAATAATGCATTATTGGTGCCTCAGTTATATTGATTAAAACAAATATAACTCGGTAGCGCGTGATGTAGTAATAGTTGTCCCACGGTGAGGCAGACCATTGTCGGCTGGTTGGTTGCTTTTTTGCTTCATCCGACTTGATCCACATGGAAAAATCATGCGATAAACGTCTGATTTGGATGATTTGGTGGTTGTTGAGGAAACATACATATGCCGTTGGTAACCGTAACCACCACATAAGTTGCCATAGGAAAACTAATGATAGTTTTGCCATTGGAGTGAAAACATCTTAAAATTGTACTTGATAATAGTCATTAAAATTGCAACGTCTTGCAAGCATCAGAGACTAATTCAGCGTATCCTGATTCGGTCTGATGTACCATGATCTCACGCAATAATTGGACCGAACCGATTCTCAACAATTAAGCAGCAAACTGGAGGGTTATTTTAAAGTTCGTTTAGACCGTAGCGGAAACAGATGGTTATCGGGTACCTCCAATTGATCCTGCATTCAGTTACTAACCGTTGTGACAAGCGCTGTATATCGTAACCCGTTGGCTAATTAGCGGAATTCCAAACCAACATCCCAAAGGTCTCAAATTCGGTGGCTGCTGTTTACATTATAAGATCAAATGAGATTAAAACGTAAGGCAATGTGCAGAGCCTTCGGGCAAGCAACTAACAGTTTTAAAGTTAATTGCTATTTTCATCCGTCCCATTCCATAGGTAACCTTAAGCGGGCCATCGTTGAAATAACACCTAGCAGATGCTGTGCCAGTCGATACCATGGAAATTGTGTGATTGATAAAATGCTTATGACGTCATATACATTTTGTTTTGCTTTACAGTTTTGTCAGTTCTGTGACCGGTTAGATCATGTTTGAATAGATCCTTGAAGAAGAGCATCAAGTCCGTATAAATACAACCGGTACGACCAAACTGGTGGCTTCGTAATGACGAAGAGATTCTATGTACGAAGGGTTGAAGTTTGTGTGTGGCGCCTTATGAAATTTGCCACTGAAGTTCTGGGCAACAGTTGTTCCTTGGAATACAGTTCGGTAGGTGCAACAGTGTTTATAAGAACGAAATAAATAATTTTCACATATTTGCGGGAATAAGGCTCTCTGCACTATAAATACGGTGAAGCCCGGTAAAAAATGCGCTGGAAATTAAAGGAAAGTAAAACGATAATATTGTTACTTTATGAAGGTTGTCTGAAATAAACTTAGAACGCTGTACAACGAACGTAGTTAATAGCAACTCTTGCTTGAACCAAGAGTTGTGATATTCTAGTGAAATGTTTTACCCGTAATAACGCCAATTAAGTTTTTCATCCATGTATATTAAACGTATTACGCTGGAGATATTTAATGTTAAATGACTTACTGTCCGGCTTTCTCTAATAGATCTGCACTCAGAATATGATCCAAGATAGCGGTCACGTTGACCAGGTTATCAAGACCAAGTGCTGGGATTAGCGGTATAAAATCAGTCTCAGATTTCGGTTGACACTTGTAGAGAAGTCCATTCAGAATTTGTTTTGGTGCCCGCAGTTGCATCAGCTTTTGAACCTCAAGCGGAATAAATCGGAACCACTCATACTCCACGAACAGATCAATAGCCGCGTCTGTGATCCTCCATGCCGATGGTTTTCTCAAATACTTACAGAGTTCGTTATTCGTTACAATAATAATGGTGGTGATCAGAGTGGATAAGATAACCATTGGGAGGAGAAATATGCCGAAGAATGCAATCATCGAGACACCACATGGCACATGCTTGGAACCACGGCATTCTGGGGTAGTCAATCGCGAATCGAAGCTATCGTTCATAAGTTGGGATTTTTCACTCGACCAACTACCTGTGGGGAAAAGTCATAAATATATTCGCGGCGAAATGGGCACGGTTCATATCAAACATATAAAATGTAGAAAAGTTTAAAGATTAAACAAAATTTTTAAATGAAGGCAAAATACATGATCAAATTTCCCCCGCAAACGTGGTCAAAAGCAATTGTGTTGCATTACTCCACAGTAAAGAAAGGTTAACACTGGCGTAAGATGGTATTAACGATCACAACTGCATATGATATTTTAAAAGTCCGTCATGAAGAACAAGGCATATTGAACTCCAAAGTAAAATATGGGATTACTGGTGGTAGAGCAAGAGCCTTCTATGCTTTTGACTATGAAATTTCTCCGAAGATTTAAGCACGTCAACTTAGTATGTAAAAAGAAATTTTCCAGATGGGTTTTAGATTTATTTTCTCTGTCAACTGAATATTCATATGTTCTGGATGCATAAAGCAATTGCTTGAGCTGACTTGACTATTAATGAAAGACATCTTACAAATTATCCCAATGACATCCTAAGATGCTTAGAAAAACTGTTACTCTCATGCGTATCCTGCTAATTGATACGCATACTTGCATACCCTTGGAATGTTAAGCCAGAATGGATCAGTCTATCTGATCTTCGCGTGAAGTGCGGGAATTTTAATGCAAAATCAACGAATCACCAACAAGCGTGGTCTAAATATTGTGTTCCAAAATGATCCGGAATGCTCCTTTAATTGTCAAGGAATCAGGAATTTACTGCGACCAATAAGACTTCTGGTAACTGATATTATCAACTGCAGTGCACCACGTACTGGATAGCAGATTACGAAATTTAGTAAGCGTTGTGCGGAATAGGCTAAAGTCTAAATGTTAGTGTAAGTTTCAGGAGGATAAATACTTTTCTTGTGGCATTACTTCGTCTCAGTAAACCCTGGTAATCAACGCGCGCGTAACTCTGGGCAAGTACACGCATATATCCGGCGGTAAAAACGCCAAGTCAGGATTATCTTTGAACACGCAGTGGAAAGATTTTCAGACAGACGCAACATATTAATGGCTGTTGAAAGCTCGAGTTTCCATTATGTTACTATTGCGCTTCATCTATTCCTTTGATTGCAAATATGACTAAACATGGGATACCACCGTAAAAATTACTGTACTCACTACTGCCGCATATGTTACAGGCATCTGAAACAATACTTGAGACCTTCAAGTCAGGCCAGTGTTTAATTTATAGCAAAGGAGACGGGGCACTTGTGAAAAGTGAGAAACGCTTTTCATCCATAATGTGTTATTTGCCCACTTGGCGTCATAGTTTAAAGCTGGGAACCATATACTGAGAATTTATGAAACTAACACACATCATAAAACTCTGGACCTTCTTTTCATCCTATATGGGGAATGCACAACGGGGCGTATTTTCTTCGAAGAACATAACATTGGAACCAATAGGGTAGCTTGCAACTCGGAAGCCTATACCAATAACAAACTTATTGTGCGAGAAAAAGAATAACGATTGTAGTTACGTTTTTACCATTAAAGTCATAGAATCGACTTACGAAACAACCCTCTTTTCCGTGCCTCCAACGCACACGAAAGCAGATGGGTCAACAGGATGATAATTATGATGGATATTAGAGCCATGCAGAGAAATCCGATTGCTGCGATCAACAGCGACAAGCTCTCAATTGTTTTATCGACGGTGTGTTGCATAAAGTTCAAATTGGTGGCCGCCGGTTTAATTAAATCCTTGTAAAGTTTATTCCAGACTGTGTGTAATCCACTGAAGTGTTTCTCCAAGTTAATTTGCTTCTGCAGCTGGACAAATGAGAAAAGTTCATGTAAGGATTTGAGATTGCAAGAAAAAATTCCCCGTCTCAAAACTAACCTGTAACCCATGACCTTTATCATCATTCAAGGCAAGCAGCAGAATGTAGCGGATAAATGATGCAAATTTTACCTTTTGGACAACATCTGTTTCTAGGGATTCTATCGCCATCTGCAACTTGTTGAATTCACTGAAGATCTCTGAGGTACTAGCAACGAATGTGTCACTCAGGTTGACTAAAATATCTATAGGCCCAGTCCTGGTATGTTTTCTGTTGAAGCCGAATTCCAGGTTGTTAATTTGTTGCTGAATTAAGTGTGAAGAAACAAAATACTAATTGAATAGAACGGTACTCAACAGTGGAACTTTTTGTAATATTATAGTTAGAAAAAGGTACCGAAGATCTATAAATATTTTGTTTGCTTTTTCGCAAAAAATGATGATAATACAATAAAGTAAAATATTTTATTTGAAACAGTACGTACTTGTGGAGACCGCAATTTGACTATAGCAGCTTTTCCACAGCGGATACAGATAAAATCTCACAGGCTGCTAATAGGTTTAAGCTAAATCCATTTAACTCGTATCATATTGGGAGGAATTCTACAGGGAATCATATGCAGGAAGTCACATTTCGAATATAATCGTCTTCCGGATTATTGCCAGACCTCATCTTAGCAAACACAAATCAGATACCTGTTCGTTTTGGTAAACGACACCGTCTCATGGCAAACCGACAGATGGCTAGTCAAGCTCAGGGTCCTTGTTGACCAAGGTCACACCGGTCTGCTTGACGAGGAAATTAAGTGCAACCCAAGTTATGACCAGAGTTTGACAGGTTGGACCGAACAACAGTAAGCGAACAGTACGCGCCATTTACAGTATTCGGACTGACGAAAGCCGAAACGACGACTGGTCAACTGATTGGACGAACCACATGTGCAATTAACGGATCGAATATGTAGCAAATGCTGTTTGGTTCAGGTTTTGCTACTCCAACACACCAGACAGACAGCTGAGGTATGGTGCAATCTTGGCAGAGAGGCAAGTTTGACGTCAATCCAGAGAAGACAGGAGTTGGTGGGAACAAGCTCAGGGAGGGGAAGCTCATGCGTGTCAGCAATTACGGAAAAATAGTAAAAGCAAAAATACGTTTCAAATATATATTTTTAATGTTACGTATTTACACTACAGTTTTGAATGTACTGAGAAATTGCATCAAGCAAAATAGGTGGGAGAGGGGAATATGTAACGTATACAAAAGTGCCAATCAAGCAATCGCGGATGTAGCACTTTATGGCTCTTACTGCATCAGTAAGTAGATGTGAGAGGTAAGGTAACGGTATTATTATAGATTTGGTAAAGAAATTAAACCATTAAATTTCAACCGCGTCAAAGGAAAGGAGATTGTCTGTTGCTGGTCGCTGTTTCACCAATTACTCCGCCATTTAACACCCTACAAAACGTATTACTCTGAAAGTTTAGATGTTCCTAAATGATAAAAATCCAACTGAACTATTAGATAAAGCGCTGAACAAAAAGCATGTGATAAATCAACTCTTCTGCTAAGGTGTCTTTTCTGAAAAAATCGATGAACTAAAATATATGAGAAGTATGACGAAAAGGGGGAAAATTGTCAAGTCCAAATTTTAAATGCTTAACTACGGGGTACTGAGATTACCTTAGGTCATAACACAGAAAAATAAAAAATTTCTGCCAGTTTTTTGGAATGTGTAACAATCATTTTATTATACACGTCAGCTAGAGGTGGGGAACACCTCAGTTACTTTGCCGCAATACATAAAGGAAAAGAAAAATAAATACAACAGTTGCATGCCAGCTGAGCTACCAGCAACGGATAGACATCGTTCCGGTAATCTACCAGCCGGCTACTAGGCAAAAAGTAAAATTATTATGTTTTACGCTAGAAAATAAGATCATAGATCTAGGGGCAGGCCAAAAGCGATGTGGTGGGACTAAGAAACTAACAGCAAGAACGCCACTGTGGTCAACTCCTTGCGATCTTAGCAATTGTTCGCAGCCAAACGTGTTCACCGTCTTTTGTACACCAACCAGTGAGCCGTGACACTCCAACCGAGGCCAGCTCCGAACTGAGGGCCGTCATTCCTCTGAACCAAGTCATCGCTTGGCCACCCCTCCTCTTCTTCCATCCACAACCCCGGCGAGCAAACAACGCACGTCGTGGAAGTCGGTGGGCTGGCATGCGTAACACGTGGCCGAGCCATCGGAGCCTGGTGCGTGAAATGACGGTGTTTAGCGGTTCAGCTCCTTTTCCTGGGCCGTAAACAATGCGTCGAACACGCTCGTTACTCACGCGGTGTTCCCACCAGATGTGAGCTAAATTGCGAAGGCACCGATGGTCGAACGTAACTAGCCACTTCATGTCCGCCGATCTTAGGGGCCGGGTTTCGTAACCGTACAGTAAGGTCGAACGTACCGTTGCACTGTACACTCTACCCTTCAGGACGAGAGTAATGTCGCGCCGCCGCCATAGGTGGCGAAGGTTAGCAAAAGCACTTCGAGCTTTTGCTATACGGTTCGTGATCTCGTCTTCGATCCCCAAGGGCGCTGATACAACTTCCCAGGTAATTGAATTTCTGAACGACTTCTAGCTGCTCCCCACCAAGGGTCAGCGCAGGGGGCGATCCCTGCCAACCTTGGAGGAAAGCTTTGCATTTTGATGGTGCAAAGCAAAGCTCGAAGCGGCTGACAGCCAGTGCTAATCTGTCCAGCGGGGCTTGACAATTCTGGAAGCTGTCACAGATGAGGGCAATGTCGTCTGCATACTCCAAGTCAAGAATTCGTTCTCCTGGAAGCAAATGCGCACCTTCTAAGTCGTGTCCTGGGAACGCGATTTCCATGACTTCGTCAATAGCGAAGTTGAAGAGGAAAGGTGACAGCGGGCATCCTTGTCTCACACCGATGGAAATATTGAATGGTGGCAACAACTTGCCGTAAACACACACTGTCTGAGCTAAGCGCGTATAATGCAGGGTGATATTTACATATTTTTGGTCACAACTTTCCTGAGTAGACAATTGCAGAGGGCACATCGATCAACCAAATCGAAGGCAGCTTTGAGGTCGATGAACATGGCTACGGTGGGCCGCCAATATGTGTGATGGAGCTCCAACAACTGACGCAA